CGAAAGGTCGCAGTTGGTATACTCTTCCGGGGACAGTTGACCTTCCGACGCAGGCGACATCTGTCAGGGACTTCCTTTCATGCCGTTGATGAGGTTTACCCAGCCTGCGGGCCTATGCCAATGCTCTGTTCATCGCATCGTGGAGATATGAGTATGGATGGCCTAGAATAGCTACCAGCCTCCCGGTAAGTGTACCCAATGGAAGATACGTGAAGATGGTAGACGTCACGGTGGTCCTGAGTGAGGACGTACGTACCCTCACTTCATTGGTCAGACGACTCAAACTCATATCTGGGGCTCTGTCGACGTGTTCAGCCACCATAATTTTCATCAGAAAAGGGATTTCGCCATGGTCTTTCCAGAATCGGTGTTCGTCTGTGTGGTTGCCTTCCCTTAGCTTCGCAACCATACGTGGAAGGTGGTGTTTTTGTTGTCTTTATGCCTTCGGTTTGCTATCCTTATTGGAAGAGCGGTGTGCGGGCAATCATGACTCCATGGGTTAGCTACCAAGGGTACAGTACCTACCTAACTATCCATTTCTAGCGCACGGAAGCAGTTGAGTGTTCCCCGAACAATCGTAATTCGATGAGCAAGCTAGCTGCCAGGGTAAAAAGTAGCGGCTGTGAGTCTTGTCCCGAAACCAAGGTGTCTTGGGTACCGATACAGGCATTGCAGGCCAAGAGTAGCGCAAGGCAACTGTCTTGAAAACCTGCTCAAGTTTGTTGAGTTGGGGAAATCCTTCAATCATTGGAATGTGTCTGGTCTCAGGCCTCGGTTGGTTCCCCATCGCCGGTAAGGAGGTTGAATGGCCAAGCAAGGGAGTCATGTCTGTCAAAGCCTTCGATGAGCACAGCCTCAGGAGTCTGCACCTCCTGACAGTGGTGAGATCTACTACCTCGAAAGAATTTTGTCCCGGAGAAATGGAAACCAGTTCGTCAGAGGTTGCCATGAGATGTCACCGAAGTGCATCAATCATCCGTCGGGGAGTCAACAAAAAAGCCCAATTCGGTCCCGAACCAATGTTGTCATCGAGGAGATCCGCAAGACTTCAGCAACGTCTTGCTGGCGTAATGGATCTAATCAAAACCGCTGATAGGCTTGAACGGATAGTTGTCCTTCAGATAGTCCAAAAGTTGGGACTAGAGTCCATAGGCGTGTCAGTCAAGGTGCGAAATTCAAGATTCACCGCCTGAGCTGATTTTGATCACTTACAAAAGGCAACCTACTGGCAGGTCAGTATGAACCGTCTTGTGAGTGGTAGGTGAAAAGAACGTTCGCCGCTGTCAGGTCATGAGGAGTGGGCAGACCTGGAGATATAGGTGGCTATCTCCTGATCTCTGCATTCTGCCATTTGCCCTTTTACTAGAATCCGTAAAGAAGGTGATTGGGGCCAAAAGGGACTAGAAACACCACGCCATTCGTGGTTCCGCCCCCAAACTTCATATACAAATTCAATTCCGCGGTTTGGCCCCCAACAGAGCGGCCCGTTATGCTCTGTTAGATGACATTCCCCTTTTCAATGTGCCAAGACATATCATACCATCAGTATCATGACGTATAGTGAGATTTGAAGGCAGTGGATAGTTGCTGCTTCTCACAGCATCTGATTGCGATTTGCAGCAATAAAAGCGAATCGGGTTTCTTCCGTTGTGACCCTTTTGGCCCTTTTGCTGTTAATATCCCTTGCAAAATTTGGGGCAGTTGAGGTCGCACACCCGTGTCTCACTTCTGCTGCGGCAAGAGCCTCTCCGAGGGACGTAAAGGGAAATTGATCTTCCTCGATTGCTCTTTTCGGCGGCCCCCAAAGTTCCTAAGTTATCACATCACCTCGACTTCGTGATTGCGATTAAGCGAACGCTGATCTCAGCCTCATGTTTGCGGTAGATAATTGGCAAGGCAAACGTTATTAAGCCTTCATATCCGATCGGCGTTCCTATCACATGCATTTCAGGAGGTTATTCGCTAGTGAGGCTGTCTTCTCTGTTGCTGAAACCCGTGAGATTGGCAAAAGCGACCAATCATAGACTTGAATATAACTGATTTGGAATGAGCGTCTGTTGCGGCTGGTTCATCTAATCCTAAGGGAGGTGAGCGGCGCTTAAGGCTTCGGTGAGGCTTGTGACAATTGTCAGCCGCACAAAGAGAAGGGTAGGTGATCAATTACCGACAATCACTGTGACGGAGGCAGCATTGGCGGGCTGGCGATAAGGCACCGTGGTGTGTGACCCAACAAGCCGACCTTGCAAGGCCTCTCAGGAGGTTAGAAGGATGCTTTGTTAACATTCCGTCAGACAAGAGCTCCTTCAGGATTCTTTGACCAGGCGCGGCTGCGCGTGATTGTGCAAGCCAACCACATATATATCGAGAACGGGAGGCACAACCCGTGTTCTCCCTCCCGGGTCCCACATGACTCCGGCTTCGTCCCATATCCGGCCCACGGGTTGTCCCCAAAAAGGCCACCAAGATTGAAGGCAAAGACAGCCTGCCTGACTTGACCGAAAACCAGCGGTCCATTGGGCGACGATGGAGACAATGCTGAAAGACAACGCTGAAAGACGGTACGCTGCCTTCTCTGTCGTGGCATTAAGGTAGCGTTGGGTTATGATGTGTTCGACGGTTGGGTAAAGACAGCGTGGGGCAGTCGCAACGGTACCTATGGATGCCCGAATGCCTTGTCTCGAGCTTGTGTATATCACAGCCCGAATGTTTGCTTCGTCAAATGTTCCGTAGAAGCTTGACTGAAATGTTTGCTGAAGAGAGAAGGTCCACCGCCGGTATGTCAAGGCTACCTCAGGTTTGGAGGTGGCCAGCATGAGGTACAGTATCTATCTGGCTGTGCTGCGTAGAGTAGTTAGACCGACGATCATGGGTTTTCCGGGCGTTTAGGTAGACACCGACGAACATGATACATAAGGCTTTCTGTTCTCCCCTTGTCAATTGAACGATGAATGATGTCGAGCTGCACTAAGACCTGTTCAGCTCAAGCCTTGGTTAGCTCGGGTCTTTGATCTCATCTTTGCACTCAATTCGATAGTACCGGGCTCGCCCAACAGTTTGGATCGTGCAGTGAGGTGGCTCCTGACCGACTTGGGCAACCCACCTGCTTCCCACCGAAGAGGGCTTCAGGCAGCAGGAAGTAATATCATTGATCAAACCCGATATGTAAGGGTCGACGAGTGAGATCAAATGAGGCCAGACCAGCGTGAATTTGATCGAGTGTTTGCCGGAGATGGCACTCTCAAGGCATAGTAATTTGCAAAGTTGAAGGTTTCGGGCGGCAAGTGTCGAGCGGGCTCCGAGGAAAATGATTGCTTCTCTATGTTAGGGCACTAAGTTTTTCTCGTTCCCAGGGTGTGGAAGTCTTATATTTGATACAACCTTAATGGGACGAGCTGAGAGCCAAACCCTAGTGTTACTGTCAGGGCTCTTGCCAGCTAGCAGATAGGGCGACAGGGTAGCTACCACCTATCGTTCACAGTTCTGCCTGGGCGGTGACCCGGATCCGAAAGGAAGACACGAACCAACAACCCTTACCCATATCGATACCAATAACAAACCGAATGACGCCGACACGCCCAGAACATACTTGCAACCAGAGTAGGTACACAGCAGGTACTTAAATGGAAGCTTGAGTATGTTTCCAGAGGCTCAAAGATTCGAGACGGAAGGTTCCGCCAAGCATGCAACAGGCCACAGGAGGCTCTGAGGGAGCTGGAAAACGGCAGCAAGCTCTGTGTGCGTCTACACAAGCCGACCACCTCCGCTGAGTACAGTAAGGACGTGGCATTTGAGCTCGATCAATGATTTTGGGGTTCATTATCACCGCTCTTATAAAAAGGATTCACTTTTCTTTCGGTGAGGAATTGTGAGGAGGGAGGAAGTGCTCTTTGTCTTGAGAATCATTTGAGAAATGCAGGAATGGCCCGGATCTGCCCCACACAGACAGAGCCTCAATCGCGGTGCGCGAACCACCGCGTTCCGCACGAGCCCATTGGGCAAGGATGGTACCTACAGGCTGTGCTCAAATGGTTCGCCAGAGAGCAAATAAGGCAGTCAAGTTTGATATGCGCACCAAAACCGACAGGTACCTACTTACCTCTTTCCTCGGGGCCAATTTCTATTAATGAGAAACCCATCTCTCATCTGGATCGTCTTCGTTTACTTCACATTTATGCCTCAACTTGCTGCACCAGGGTCGCTCGCTTGTTATGCCTGCTGGTAACACGCAACGCTGGTAGATTTGGCTGTCACTGCGTTGTTGGCCCCCGCCTCTGTTGACAAACCCAAGTCACTCACGTCGCGACATCATCATCTTTGATGGGACTTTGCCTTTCTACATACACCTCCCTCAACCTATTGCCACCCCGCTCTTCTCGACGACACTACCCCCGGCAAGCCGCCTCCGGTCGACTTACCAACAAAAGTCGCTCACAACCACATCTAGCAGCTTTCGAACCTCCCTAGGAAACTTCTTTGGGAGATACACCACTCAGTACTAATATCAGACCCTTGTCGCGCACGGGCGCGAATCGTGAGAACCTCTGGTGCATCACCCGAAGGTCACGCCTCTGACACTGGTTTGCCTGATTCGCGAGTAGCACTTAGGTCTGACGAGGCACTCAACGCCTCACTCGCACACAAACACGTCCACACAACAAGCCTGCCCGTCATGGCATCCCAAAAGCCCCAGGTCGACATCGGACAAGGCTTTGTCAATTACCTAAGAAAACAAGCACGATCTAGGCAGAAACCGGCCGTTTGTAGTCTCTGCAATTTAGACCTCCCAACGGTCACCGACTACGTGCAGTTTGAGGCTCACGTCAAATCTGTTCATGCGGAACTTTACAACAGCAAGAATTCTGACAAGGAAAAAGAGGACTGGCTGAATGCTCAGTGGAAGGCATCTCAGCCTACAAATATAAGTGAAAGGTTGGTTCCATTCCTCTCATCCCCCCCTCACCCTCCCTCCCCAACTTAGGGATCTGTACTCACATCTAGCCATGCATCACATCAGAAACCCAGGTCTAGACGTTAGTTCTAAATCCGGAAAGGCAGCTCCTCCCGGAGACACCAACCGGCCGTCAAACTGGGGAAGAAATGCTGGCCAAGATTCGGGCAATGTGGCGCAGGCGCAACCAGACCGTGCTTTCCGAACAAAGAGTCCTTCTCCCAGCAACAAAAGGGAGAGTTCTCGTAGCCAGTCTCCCCCCAAGCGCTCCAAAACTTCTGGTCGTCAGGGAGCGAGTGGGATGACGGACGATGCGCGTGCGGAGTTTGACCGAGGACCGACTCAAAAAGGAATGCTCTGGGATCCCCAAAATGATTCAACTCGTACCCGCACTCAGTCATACGACAAGTCGAACGTTGCCACAAGCCACAAACTAGCTTTAGCTGCTTCGCAGGCCAAGCCCCGCCGCCAGAGTCAGCAGGCGCAAAGCCAGCCCAGTCGAACCGCTGCTCAGTCTGAAGATATGTCAATTGGATTCCTCAAACAGCCCGAGACACGCGCTATTTCCCAGGAGCAGCTTGTCACCGAGGTCAAGGGCATCTATGCTGGCCTCGTTATGGTCGAGAGCAAATGCATCGAGGTCGACAACGCCCAGAATGCCGAGACCGATCCGGCCAACAAGCCCATCAACCATGAGCAATGGCAGGCCTTGATCGCCCTGCACCGCACTTTGCTGCACGAGCACCACGACTTCTTCCTTGCTTCACAACACCCGTCTGCGAGTCCGGCGTTAAGACGGTTGGCCGCCAAGTATGCTATGCCGGCCCGAATGTGGAGGCACGGGATTCACAGCTTCCTTGAACTGCTGAGACACCGTCTTCCGGGGAGTCTCGAGCACATGCTTACGTTTATTTACCTGGCATACTCGATGATGGCGTTGTTGTACGAAACTGTGCCTGCTTTTGAAGAGACATGGATTGAGTGTCTCGGGGATCTGAGCCGTTATCGGATGGCTATCGAGGAGGGCAACCTTCGTGACCGAGAGATATGGACTGGCGTGAGCCGGGATTGGTACTCGAAGGCTTCCGATAAATCTCCCACTACTGGGCGCCTCTACCACCATCTCGCCATTCTTTCCCGACCCAACGCGGTGCAGCAACTTTACTATTACGCCAAATCCCTCTGTGTTGCAATCCCCTTCAACTCTGCTCGTGACAGCATCATGACGCTTTTCGACCCTGTTTTGGGTCCTGATTCAAGTCGTCACTCAAGACTGCATCATATCGATCTTGCATTCGTTCAGACCCACGGCGTCATGTTTAGTGGCAAGTCTCAGGACAAGCTGGAGCATTATATGGAGAATTTCTTGAAGCCCCTTGATAATCACATTCAGGTTTCAGGATATCAGTGGCGGGAGCCTGGGTATGTGCAATCGGTACCTTTTCTTTTTCGGTTTCCAGTTCTAACGTCAGACAGATACCACATTGCCATTGCAAACTGCTGTGCCATTATTGGATGGGGTAATGAAAAGAACCCAGTTTACCGAGCCATCAAAGCAAAAGCAAGCGTCAGTGATGAGTCCCGTGACCAGACCATGACTGGCACCGAGGGGGCGGAACCAGATCTACAACTCGTAACAGCTCTGAGATTGGCCAACAGAACTCATGATGTTGTCTTTAGACAACAGGATGACCTAAATGTGGTTCCATATCTCCATGCCACTCTTGCCTTTGTCTACCATATGATCTCTTTACCAGAGGCCATGGTCCACTTTGCACCAGAGTTTCCCTGGCGACTGGTGTCTTACCAGCTGAACTCCTTGCTTCGAGATTACTCCGCATATGACCGATTTGAGAGCGATCAGTTTCCCAGACCGGAGAACGAAGAGGTTCCCCGTCCTCTCCCCGAGGACTTTGCCATGCGCGGCCTTCTGTGGGTGGAGAAGTATTTCCCCAGCGACTGGTTCTCGGAAGACAAAATCATCGACGATGAGAAGTATTTCGAATCGGCTTCCCTCTTCGACGAAAGAATCACACGCGTTCTGTATTTGGGCTACAGGATTGCCATGGAGGGAGAGGGCAAATGGCTTCAATACGACTCCAAGACTCATCGGTTCGGGGTGCACCCGCAGTATGAGCTGGAGTCTCAGAGAGGAGGCAATGACTACGGTGAACTGCCTGACGCGGCCGCCCACCCTTGATCAGCTGCGAGCGTGGGTGCACTACCGGCAACGAGTGCATCAAACTCATTCATATATACGTTACATGTTAAGTTCCGAACGTCAGGAAGTCTGGGACAGGTGAGCCGCCAGGGTTTCCTCTCTTTTCTCAATTTGCTTCAGACATTCTCATTGCTTTCAGCGAACAAATAGACTTTGGGGATTGCTTTTCATATCTCTTTCACGCATGTACATCAACGATCGAGGTATTCAAGTGTGTACGGTCCTGGGTTTCACTTGGGGAAATCCGGAGAAAGAGTGTGTTCAAGGTGCCATTTTGGCCCTTGAGTGTAACTGTGTAGCAGTGTAATTCTTAAAAAATTCAGTAATACTAGTCAAGAAGCTTGTAGGAGTTCTGAGTAAGCAAATCACGCTGTGTCGATGAATTTGCAGGTAACAAGCGTTATCAGGGCAAGAGAACGTGAACATCAGGACAAGCGTAGATGTTTGATACGTAAGGCTTCGAGCGAGGCAGCGCATGTCATTGGACAAGGCGACAATGACAGAACGAAAGTAAACCTCGAGACGACGACAGGAAGACACTTTTGATTTTCATTGGTGTTAATTCTCCGCAGAATAATACAGAGTGCACAACTTTCAGGGGCTTGGGCTCAGCTATCACGACGGTACACAGTCAATTCAGCTCAGGGGTTTGTTTACTTTGCTCCAGATCTAGTATCCAGCGCCACAGAGTGACAGCGGGCGTTGTTTTCTTTTTGACCCCACGTGTGATCCAGACCCCTGGAAACGAGCCCCTAGCAAGTGCTCAAAAACTTCAATTTCTCTTCTATCCAACTAGGTAGCAATTTCCGTATCTAGGTACCCCAGTCTGGTTGCCTTACGACACTATCCCTCGCTACGCGGAAATTGGAATACTAGGGAGATATTCCGATGCTTCCGGTACAGCGGTGCTCAAAACTTCAAAGACATGCATGAGGAAAACATCACAAACATCATCATGAACGCCTGGTCTGTGCCGTTGCATTCGGTAGCAAGCCACTTTATAAGGCAAACACCAGGGAACATGGGCAGGAAATGACGACCCAGGATTCCAGAAACCTCATATCCCAGGAATTCGGTTCCAACTATTGCGTTTGGGAAACTGCGCCGCAGCCACTCCCCTCCCTTTGGTCTCGTTGGGTAGTACCTGCCAATCTAGTACTAAGATGTTGAGATGTAACTCCACTCTAGGCAACCGCACTGCCGCACTGGTACATTGTACAACATCTAAGTTGGAAAGATCGATGATGCCTTGATACCGAAAAGAGTCGGAGTCCGAACAAACCGACCGACTGGTGAAAGGCGCGAAACATGTTCGCCGTCACAAATTTGCGCCTCATCAAACCTGAAGCTCGGTATCCCTACGTCTTCAGTCAATCGCATGGACGTTTCAGAAAGCTTACGACTCACCCTCGACACTAACTTCCCGAGCCACGATGACGCTCACCAACAGCCTCCAAATCTGACACGAGGATCTGGGATCATAAACCAAGTGTAAGATCATCCACTAAGCCCCAAAGTAGTACGCGTTGATCATTTCTGTCTCAGTGTTCTCCCCGAGTAACATCGATCTTACTGTCCCAAGAACAAAAGAAGGCGACCACGCTAAGAAACCCAAGGGGGGCTCAGACCTGCTCGGTTAACGCTAGTGATTACCAACATGTTAACTTTATCTCGAAGTTTGGAAATTCGAAGCGAAAATCCAACGTTGGACTGGGGATCATAGGACTAACGACCGGGCCGGCGGGATGTTTCCGATTGAATGTAGTAGTTTCTTGCATGATGCTCCAGTCCAGTGATGAGGAGAGTTGTCAGGTGTGGTACACTTTCACCTCAGTGTGACACTAACGTGGGAACACACACACGTTGAACGGTTGACTATCGAGAGCGTGAAGTGTCGGCCGATATCCGCTTGTGAGATTGCACGCCGCCCGCACTCCGCAGTGTCAGTGATTGTCGAGTGAGTGAACACTCGATCGAAACAACATTGATGACTGGATAATGTGAATACATTCACCGAAAGTTCAGGGGTGGAGATATATGTCCTTTTACAGTCGAACTTCGTAAGTACCCCAATCATTGACTACCACTGATCTTGATCTCACCAGTTACGGAACTTGCCGTCGGCGTTGAGGCTGACTGATATCTGACTGTCCTTTAAGTCCGCGCTTATATCATCTCTGTTGGTGACTTCGTGGGTCTCTGCGGCCGCTCGATGTCATGTGAGCCATCATATTCTCGAATGAAGTCTCCTAGTGAAGGATCGTGAAGAAGGACGTTGCTAGGACAAGTAGGTAAGTATACAAACCCTTCTGTGTAACTCGGTGTAACTTGCGTCTTTTTTGCGGCTCAACAAGTCATCATCTGTAGCAAGGTACAATTAAGGTGCTAATTATGGTTTGTCCCACCTCTTTCGGTCTTTTGAGTGGTTTCCGAAAAGCAGAAAATCCCCCAAGTGTCCACTGGATCTGTGTCCTCACGGGGGCGGCGCTGCCGCTGCCGCTGCCGCTTGTCCGCCATTCCCGCCGTATGCGATTATGCCGTGCCACGGTAGGTCACGGTGGAATGGGGAAATGGTGGAATGTTGTCGGTTGCCCAGCACCCGCCTGTCCCGCCAAACAACAGCCGGATCGACAGTTACAGCGTCACAGGCACAAATATCACAATATGTGTGCCGCGCTTTTCCGTATTATGGATGACCAAGGCACAGTCTGACGATCTTGTGGTTACTGGTTGGATCTCCTGTCATCATGCCGGTTTTCGGTGAACAATTTTGGCGAATCGGCAGTATGGGCCAAGGCTACCTATATGTCAGATGCTATGACATTATGCCGCTGAGGTAACGTGTGTTCATAGCGTAGTGAGGATGGCCTCTTTTTTGCCTTGAGAGGGCCTCACAAAGCCGGCTCACAAGGCTAGCGTCTGACTTTCGAAACTTTTCAGGCTGTGAGTATGTCGTATTGCCTTGTCGAGTTTCAAGACATCTCGCTTGATGAGGTTGTATAGGACGAGGTGTGGTCTAACTCGTGTCAGAAATGTCGCTGCCTAGGACTTGGAAGCATGGCATGTTCTGATGCCACCAATGGGAATCCGAGCTAACTCACCAGCAGGCGGATTATATCACGGGCTATGCATCAGATGCATCAGATTTAGTGTATTGCGGTTCCAGAATTTCGAGAATGAGAATCGTTTTCTTGAGGGAAGCCTTGGCGCTTCCAAAACGTTCTCGATACGCGGGTCCAACCGAGCGCAACGTTGGTTGCCTTATTCCTTATTGCAACCCTTCCTAACATCCTGAGGATTAACCGAATGTGTTTTGTCATGCATATCGGTTCGATCGATGAAGGCCGTCCCGTACCCGAATCCGGAAAACCCGCCAGGCCGGACCTCCATCTCCGTAGCTACGGACGCGGAGGCAGCAAACCCCACCCGGGGATGCAGATCTATGTTCCGGCACTTCGACTAATGCATGCTGTTAATGCTCGCAATGCATGTTTTTTCTGCGCTTTCAGTACAGTGCAAGGATTCGACGTCAGAGCTTAAGATAGCAAAAGAGGGACGGAGATAGCCTTACCAACTCTACCCCTCCTCTAAGTCCTAGCCCCTCCTAAACTTCCCCTCCATGAAGCTCCAAATGCTTTATCCTGACCGAAAGTGCAATGTAGCTCAGCTTAGCTATAGCTTTTGCCTATTCCTGCAATATTCAGCCTCGGCTGAGCGGGTTCTGCGGGGGCGGGGTAAGAGAAGTTCATTGTCGGTGTTTCGGCTGAAGAGTCGGCGGATATTGAAACCAGATCAGCGGCAGCCTGATCAGGCGTGTCGGTATGGTCATTCCTGTGGCTCGAACGGTTGCCTTGTCCTGCGTGCCTCGTGGAGTTGTGGTGGCTGCGCTTTCTTTATCTGATTATCGATTGATTATGTGCGGATGATCGTTCCCCGCAGGACTCTTAGGATCTGCTTCATCCATCCATCCCCTTGTGCGGGAGGTGAGATTGTTTGCAGGTTGACCGGTTGGAGGCTGCTGCTGAGCGGCAAAGAGCGGCGACAACTATTTCCGGAAAATGTGTGAAGTTTGATCAGGCTTTCAGGTTCTTGTCTCACCACACCGAAGCTGCCTTCTTCAAACACCCATCCGATTAACGAGGAAAGCCGTCCGCTGACCGGTTTCGGGTTTGGTCAAGTTGTGGTGGCAGTGAGTGAAGGTTGTTAGTTGGAAACAAAACGCCTCAAAACATATCCATACCGAATCATCGACGCCAAAACAGTATCATGATGACGTTGCGACATCGCCTACCCAGATGCAGAGCTTGCTTGAAAGCAAGCTTGGAATAGGAAGCGATCTCTCACGAGACGAAAAGATAGCGATCTTAGTTGATGATCAACCAAGTTGAATTCCATCATTTTCGAATAATCAATAAGGCAGTGTGTCAATTCTCGGTAAAGAATGAGGCAAGAAAAATCGTTCAAAGAACAAATGAGGATGATCTGAACCACGCTCGTTACAATGTAAGTTACGGGTTAGGGTCAAGTTGGTTCCAAAACAGACATTCATTCAGCATGGGGTGCATTAGCGCTATCCGTCCCTCCGGACCCCAAAAAATTTACAATTCCGTCGGACATTTTCGAAGTCCCAGATCAAAATCCGGAAGCGCCCAGGCACTGGGTGGTATTGTAAGGCAACCAAGCTAGTCTAGGTAAGACTAAAATGTCTCGATATCACATGCCCTTCGCACACATAAGCATAGTGCGCTGTTACCGAACATTGGTTATCTACAGACGGGGGGGTTTGTCGGTGGTGCCTTACATGGCGATAAAAGCCAATCGCAATTCGAGACTCAAACCACGTGTGCCTCTGTTCATGCATTTGGAATCTCGCAGCAGAGAAACATCCTCACCCTCACTAGGTTTGCCAAAAATTCTTGTTTGGTGGCAAGCCAGTATGTTAGCTGCGTTTCATGTTCCAAGTAGTTTGACTCGGACTA